GGAATGAGGTAGACCTGTGTTTGATGAAAATTCTGAAACAAAACTTAACTTTGGTTGTGTCAGTCTCCTTCATTATCAACAGTTTTCCATTTTCATTTTAAAATGTACTTTCAGATAATGGATAAAGTTCCAGAACTTGACACTGATCACCAAGATGCCATAATGGATTGCCTTGCTGTCCGCCAAGGTGACATTCAGAATGCTTTATTAGAAGAAAAATGTGCTGTCTCTGGTCCCATATTAGAAGATTTTGACTGGAAAATTAAGGCATGTGATATCCATTTGAAGCTACTATCATACTTGTTAAATCCTGGCAATAGAACTTTCAAACGTAGCTTACAATCCAAAGGTTCAGCATCGCTACAAATGAACATGAACTTCACAGCTTTATTTTCTGAAGATTTGCCTCAGTGTTTATTTAACAATAATGTCAGTAGCCGAGACTATGCATTGTCAAATGATAAGATGAGTTGGAAGGGATATGGAAGGAGAGTCATGACCTAATTAATATTTGAACCTGAGTCATCCTGAACATGAAACAGTGCTAACTGCTGAATCATAATACTTATTATTTAAAGATTATCCTTTCATATCCTTGGTTTTCCTGATTCTTAACTGTCTAACTCCATGAAGCAAAATCCTTGGCAAGTCAGTAACTGCCCAGTTACTCACATAAGTATCACTTTTACTTTGATCATTTCTTTCTTTCAAATAGTGGATTATGGGTAGCAGCAAACTGTCATCATTGCGAGAACCTCTTCTGAGCCTCGACTTTAACCTACGCGAAGGAAAGAACAAGGCGGCTCAGAACTCAGATGTTAAACAAATGACTGCAAGTTTGGAACTGGATAAGAATGAGCTGAATAAACTAATTGCTGTACTGGAGAAAGCTCAGGAGACTGTATCTAACTGGCAAACTTAGGAAATAAAAGTATTTCTATGTATTCTTATTCATTCATTTACTTACACTGCACATAATAATTTACATATATACAGTAGGCCAGGTTTTATCAACCTATGGTGAGCGTACCACCGGTGGTATGCGAGCCAAGGTTGAGTGATACGCGAATTAAGTAAGAAAATCAAAAGTTAATATTTACATAAATAACAGTTTTCCCCGAACAATCAATAAACTCACGGCTTCACACATCAGACACTTTATTCACACTTATCTCACCAGGACAAGTGTAGCAGCCCACAAAAAGGCATTTTATTCCAGTTCCCACCGGTGAACGCGAGTTCAGATTAACAAATCGCAACTCAAGAACTTCAAACGCCCCACAACTTGGAAAAATAAATATGCTGATCACATCGCCTTGAAAATGGGGACAGTTTAGATGTCAAAAATGTAGACAAACCATCTCCAAACAAATTTCAAGAAACAGTAGTCAAAACATGAATACTTAAAACTTTCTTAAAATGCATGTTTAGTATAAAATATGGAATTAATGCATTTTAAAATACATTAATTCCAAACAGCAATGAATGTCCTTTGGGATTGTGTATTAAGCGATGTTAATGGAGGACTTCATGTAAATAGCTTCTTGGTGACAATTACAATTTTATACAACCACACCATTCAAATGAACACAGCTTAGCTGGAAGTATTTGATGATCAGGAATGCGATATCACCAACCATGAGATAACAAAATAGAAAAGAAACATCGGATACACCGCCAAAGCTTTCCTGCCAACAGGTTGACTGTCTCCAAGGAATACCATCGAGGCTAGAAAAAACAAAGCAAGGGAATTAAACTCCAACGAACACGTACATAAATTCCGCATATTTCGCAATTCACTCCTGTGCGTACCGTGATGATGGCTTTTGTGCAGCTGATAATTATTCATCTAGCTTCCGTGGAATTAAGTTTCATGATCGTGTTCACAAATGTCCACAACGAGACTCTATCCTGAGCTATTAGAATAAAGTCCACACCACCAGTTTCTGTTTCCAAAATTTATTTTAATATTATCCTCCCATCTACGTCCAAGTCTCTCAAGTTTTCTCCTTCCTTCATATTTTACAATCAAAATTTTGTATGAATTAATTGCAATGCATGCTGCCCCACCCATCTCAATTCTGTTTGATTCAATTACCCCAAAATTATTATGAAAGGGGTACAGTATCCTTGTCTAATTGTCTAAAATCCTTTGATGCCATTATCTTTGTCATCGCTCCGGACATTGTATCAGAAAATGTTTCTGAATTGGCTTCAGTTCCATTAAAGCTTGCAGAGAATAAATGTTACTGCAATTAATTCGAGACAGAATGTCATTTTTGATCTGTAACAATTTTTTGTTCCAAAAAGAGGAGTTTTGGGGTAATAATGCCATAGTGGTACGGAAGAACTTGTAGTCTGGGACAAGCATTTAAAAGTGAGACTTGGGGTTCTCACAGCAGTGAAGATAGCAACAGGCGATTTTAAGTTTATGAGGTACTCTTCTCTTCAATATACACAAACTTACCAGACGTTGCCCAACCAAATCCTGCCATAGTTACTACAAACCGGATTATGAAAAGTAATTGTGACTGTTCTGCAAGCAGAATTATTCGGCAGACAACGAGGGCAATCACTGTAGGAAGCAGGCAATATCCAAGAACACACACACTCTGAAAAAACGATCTGAAATTAAGAAAAACAATCTCAATATTAACGGGACACTTTCGGTATCGCACCGACCCCATTCACTTGTCGGTGAGTGAAGATAGTGCTGGTGAAAACATTTTACAGAAGTTAATGTCAAACAATTTTGTTGAATTTTATTACAACCACCATTACAACTTTTGTATAATATTATTAATTGTATTATCGTCTTCTCATTGTACAAAACTATTAAAAGTTTAAAATTTTATGCCTTCTATTATCCCACATAAAGAACAGACAAAATTATACTACAATGACGTTTTAAAATGACACCCAACCCTAACCTAAACACAAAGTTTGTCTAAATAACATCAAACAAATTCAGTCCGTACCTCAAAGAAAAACAAAATATCTCCATGACAACAATCAAATGGTTAACAAGGGTGAGATAATTAATTCTGCTAACAAATGTGATCATTCTAAGAACTCTTAGCACACGAGACAGAGCAGAGGTTTACCCAGCGAGGTCAACTGGCATGCCATGTTAATTAACATTTATTAATATTTATCAAACTCAGATTTGAAAGATATTCATATTTCTGAACAGAATATCTTGTTCACAAACTGGAAGGCATTAATTTGATATTTTTCCAATACGCATCCAGTATGTGAGATGACGATGCTACATTAAAAGAATTATACGGCTTTCAACTTACATGTTTCCTCCCAGAAGCTTTGAATTAAGAGTTACTATCATGGAACCAATCCACACAATCACAAAAACTTCAGAAAATTCTGGTCCACCAACATTTGAATTGTCAGCTATATCTGCGGAACCTTGCAAGAGCCTGTTGGAATATAGAAGTCTAATTATATGCAAAAAAAAAAAGCTTCATTGAAAATTACAACAAATAAAAATATTAAATGCACTCAGGACGAGCATTATGCACTTCAAGGTTCCAAAGACAAAAACTTCTAGGTTTTAATATTTCTCGCAAAAGCGTTTCCAGCACGTCACACAACACAAATCTCACAAATCACTTATTGTTACAAAATCAAAATACTTTCTGCCACAGATATGTTAAAATTAGTGAGATTTCATGTTCTCACTGCAGCGAGTACGACGATGGCTGTCTACTTGGTTGTGGCATCATGCATGGATGCAACAAGGACCTCTGAAAAACACTGGTAAATGTCCACCAGATTACAGGGTGCTACAACCCAGAAGAGCCACCTTCATGTTACAATTTCCCAAAAAAATTACTTAAAATTCAGTCAGTTTATGTCTGGTATTACCAGATCTAAGGGTGCATATGGGTCTTTAATAACAGTTCTACAGAATTAACTCTATTCTGTGCACCTTCAGAATCTTAAAAAATGAAACAGATTAATTTCATATGTTTACTAAAATAATATTAACACTATTAAATTAACATTAATAACTACTGAAAGAAACATTACATAATACAAATAATGACAAAATTTATAACCAATAAAAAAATCCATTATTCAAGTCACATGATAATAAATAAATTTTTAAGCTTTGAATTTTCCTTGCATACATAATAATTCTCAGTTGACAGCTTTCCTGTTCTGTGTAATCCATATTTTTTTCTGACATGGCCCTTTAGGAACAATCCAGACAAAACAAATGTTCATGTATACATTTAAAGGCCATCTCTTTTCCACAAGGCCAGAAATTAGTTAACAAAATTTAAATACAAAATCGCTCAATTCAATTTTAATTACTTACATTGCCATGAATGTGCAGAGCAAAAGTGGCCCCCACAAGTCCCCTTAAAGGAAATAAGAAGTCCATTAGTTCTTTGTACTTCCCTTTACGATTTTCATGATCAACCAGCAGATCATAGCAAACAATACTCACATTCCTTCAATAAGCTTTTCTTCTCTTTAGGATAGAGTACATGGAAAAACTTTATTCCAACAGCTCTAAGATCCCGCAACTGAAAAAGTAACATTTGTAATACCATGCATAAAAAGTGTCGTAATTCTTATTAATAAACCTTGAAACCTGCGAAATAACACTTACTACTGTGACTCGTACTGGTTCGTCCAAAGTATTAAATTCTGGTTCACTGCCTACATTCTGATTTTTTCGTTGAGTGGGGACTGTCATGTCTCCTTCCACTGTTCCTCCGAAATCATCGTAGATCTAAATATGAAAACAGCGGCATACATAGTAAATCCATAATAATAAAAGGAGAATAAATATTTTATAGCGATATTGTAATTCATATTGAAAATTACTGTTACGGCTTTCTGCCTTACAAACACTACAAGACTACCACGAACACAAATCAAGCATCAGTCTGATGTGAAGTTCTACATGACTTTAAACTTATAAATTGAAGAAAGGTAATTTATATCACATTACTAACATCTATTTTTGCCTCGTTGACAACAGCCATTGTTTAAAATGACACCACACTTAAACAGACATTACAACCGACATCTACATGAAACCATTATCTGTGCTCGAGCAACTGTTTTCAGGCTTGCCAAATACAGACATTAATAAAGAATGGCGGGGTGACAGAAGGTTGCTTGAATACAAATATGTAGGATGAAAACAATTTTGATTCAGCTTTTCGCAAACTAAACTGTTCTCAGTCATTATTAATCTTCAGTTTCCTGCCTACATCAGGGTTTTGTGATCCTTTTTGACGTAAATACGTCTATACGGAAGGGTCATTCGGCAAAAAGCGTAACGAAGATGTATAACGAAGTTGTGTAAGATCCATATCAACAATGTGTTAGTCGTTCTCAAGAATAAAACCAAGGCACTCATACAGATATTTTCATAGCGACCAGTGTTTGCAATTGTATAAAATAAACGTGTTCTGGGTTGTTACACTGCGAATTTGAGGTTTGCAAAGAACTTTCTCATTAACCGACAGAGCTACCGTTAACAGCTCCTCCAATATATGACGCGTCATCATCAGCCAATAGGATTTTAGTTGCACATTAATGTAATAATTTGCGTTACCAACATCATTTATGTATCATAGCACTTATGTAACATGTTTGAATACAAGTGCCATGCTTCACATTAGTATTATAATTTATTGCTTAATCGTGGTGGCATCGCAGTCTCCTGAACACGACCACGGGGACAGCAGGAAAATGAATGACGATCCAGCAGAACAATTATGTATCCTTTGTTTTCGTTAGTGCCTAAGACGAAATACTCTCTGGAAACCATGTGCGTGTCATGTGGGTATTACCATATTTGGAATGGAAGGAAAGGATGACGGACTAGAGGAATACCTAAATCCTTGGATATTTATATCTAACTTCCCCACTGGATACGTCAGCCATTTTCCAGTTACAGGCCACAGACAGAAAAGCAGGCAAAGATGTAGGAGCAACATCTCTGGCCTTCTACAGGTTACTTTTCACACTGATTTGAGGCAGTAAGCGCCTCTGAAATGTCCGTCACTTTCTATGAGACCACATGGTTTAAGATCCCATGTGACAGCTATCTTCATGGCGATGAACCTTCAGGCTCCATAAAAAGCAGGGAATTTGGTGGATGAGGTGATTATCACAGTACGAGACTGACAGCTTAATGTGGACTCAGAACCTCGGTAGGGATTTGGTGTTATTCATCACATTCCAGAAGACAGATATGAAGTATCTAAATAATGAGCAGAACACTTGCTTGTGTATTATTATATGTGAAATATATCCTTAACAGATTGTCAGTTGTGCGAATGTTCATGAAAAGGAGAACGGAACAACTGGCTGCTGTCAAAAGACTTCTTGCAATTGACAGTTATGAAAAACAATATAAAATGGTGTCTGTAATAGCAGAGAAAGTTTTCAGCGTAAGGTCATATTGGAATATGTATTTTAAAAAACAAAACGGAAAGAAACACCTTGCATTTTCGTAAGATTATGTCTAAATATTATACTTCTATTTCAGGTAATCAAGAGTAGCAGAGTTACGTTAGAAAGTTTAGGTTACATCCCTGGAATTAGTGCTTTTCCTAAGGATGAGGATACTTTGGACGGTATGTCTGAGCAACAATGATCACTGGGGTAGTCTATTGACATTTCCGCAAGTGGATTATCATCAAGTAGGACTTGAGGTTTTCATGGCGGTGAGTCTTCTGGCAACAACCCCAGAAGACAGTCATCTTTGGATCATCATCACTTTTTTACATAACTCGAGTAATCCGACATTCACAAGCTGAATGAAAAGTCTCCAAATGGTTCAAAAGATGTGGTTAGAGACAAAGGCTTCGAGTACCCTAATACATTTTATTTGTTCCTTGTGCAAAGTTCGTAAAAACGTGCATAGCACGGGGTAATGTGGATTACCAAACTTAATTTCTATTTGATGAGATTTCAGACTCCTGTGGCAACGAGTACGAAATGTTGCATTGTGTAATTTTGGCAGACACTGACTTGACGTTTCGAAGGAGGTTACTGTCTACATCACTGCACTGATGCTGAAGGCAGTTAGCTCCTCTGAAATTTCAATTTCTACCAGGGGCATGGTGCACCATCCCAAAAGGCAGCCACCTTCATTTTATTTCTCAAAAAATTGGTACACAGACCTCTTAAGGCTTCATAAAATACTTAACAAAATGCAGAATGGATGAGAAATACGTGACGTTATTATAATTAATGCAGGATGAATAACTAATACATAAAAGTATTTAAGTATCACTCATTTCTTTTCAAGACGTAAGTCTTAAAAATGAAATCTCTTTCAGTTGTGACATTGGCAGTGGAAACAAATGTGGGGTAGTAACACCAGCCCAAGAAACGACACTCCACACTGTGACTGTGTGTGAAGGTGTTTTTGTGGAAATGTATTGGTGATCTCTGGGGAAACAAACAAAAATATTTTTACGAACAGTTAAGGATGCAAATTACACAGCCTGTCTAGTATTAAGTAGTAATAATAATTAACTCAATGTCTTCCACTGAACTTAAAAAAAGCGTAATCTCAATTTCCAAAAGTCGCCCCAAGATCTCGTGTTTCATCGCGACTCTTAGAAATGTTACTTTAGTTACATGAAATTTCTCATGGTGTGATATTTCCATTTGTAGCCCTGGCAAACATTCTGGAGAACACTGCGCTGTTTGGTGATATTTTGCTGAGACTTCCTGATATTTCCCACAAAATCTTAATCTCAAAACATGAATGGGAAGTATCGCTACAATGGAGCTTAGGTTTCTCCAACCAAACCCATCTACTGGACAAACAAACACAAAAACTTGTGTACCTGGTAAGTTGACAGAAAACTGATAACAGAAACTAATGATACTGTTTTTTCTCCGGTTTCCGGTAATTATTTTACGTAATACAGAGTGATACAATATTACAGAAAATGTGTGCGCAGGGAAAAAAACAAACAATAACTGGCAGGTTCAGAACCGAACATTAAATAATTGCCAAGGAACAGACAAAGCATCTGACGTGACTGTGAGAACCTGAAATCTCACCAGCAGTCGCTGCCTAATTTAAGGCGCTATCCAGCATTTGGCTGGAGGGAGTGGGGAAAACCATAATAAACCACTCAGAACAGCCAGTTTCCAAGTAGAGATTTGAACCTGGGACCTGCTGAATACAAAGCAGGAGTGCTAACCACTTGACCGCAACATTCAGCGCCATCAGTATAACCACCCTATTATTAACGGTAGCAGAATCTGTCTCGTAGGTGCTGCCAATTTGGAAAAGGATTCTTTTGTATGAGAAATAGGCAGAAGCCAAGAAGTTTTATGAAGAGATTAATTTCAATTGGTTTTCCCTCAGATGCACTCCAACAAACAGAACGTATCTCAGTTTGTAATGTGTTAATTTTTTCAGGCGAGCCAAGAAATAAACGTCACGGAAAGGAATCCCAATTACCTGAATCCATACAGCAAAATTCATAAACAGAAACACGACAAACAACAAAGTCCGGAACAGAATGTTGCAAAGAAGAAGAAAATGAAGAAGCATAAGAAAGGACCACGTATGTCCAGCGGAACTTTTACTGGAGATCTGTGACGTTAACCTGAATGCACGTAACATACCTTTCCTTGAACGACGTTCAGCTCAAACTCACTGCTGGTTTGTAAAACACGTGAACTTTCCTTGGAAGTAATGTCGCATGTATTGGTTTTAGCTCATAGTCTTCATTGTCTATGGAGATCCAACGTTGTGTATTCTGTTTGGAAAAAATAAAGATGTTAATTATATTTATATTTCACATCATAAAACATATGAACTTTGCAGTAACAAAAATAATAATGCACCACTGCATTCCTACGGGGCATCACAACGTCAATATGTATTGGGGAGTGGAGATACAGATCCACATCTTTCGAGATTGCATCCTGCTTAAAGTACCTAAATTAGCTGTCCACTACGTTTCAACCCGACTGGGCCATCCTCAGGCATATAGGCTGAAGTATGAAAAACCTGTTGTACAAGCTTGACAGGATAACAAATGCCAGAACCCTGCAAGGTTCTCATATTTATTGCAGTAACCAGACTGCATATTAGGATTATTGAATTTATATTTAAAATGAACGTTACAAAGGTAAAAATTTAAAAATAAATAAAATAAATGTCTTTATGTACACTTAAAAAAAATAACAACATACAAAAAGTCTCTCCATCTATAATAAATTCTGTAATAAATCCAGTATCATAGCTGCCAACTTGAACTTAGTTCTTTCGAAGTTATTAATCCCAGTTTGTATCTTCTACCTCAGATCTGATCAACCCTGGATATAACAAAGATACGTAAAAAACTTCTTGCTCTAAGAGAATAACACAAACTGCATTTAAAGCGACGCCAAGCAAATTATTCGGACATCGGAGAAATTACATAATTTGGGAATGGACAGAATTAGATAAAGAGGAACTTCATAATTTCCATTATTCTGCCAATATTGTTAAGGTAATTAAACCGAGCTTATGACAGGCTGCACATGTAGCTTATAATCTGGAAAACATGAAATGCACATAGAATTTTGATTGAAAAAGCCCTTTGGAAACCTAAAGTTTTAAATACTCTGCAGTAAAAACTCTACACGGAGAATGTTTTATAATTTCACTACCTCCATTCATTTGAGAGTGTGATCTTACCGCAGTCATTTCTACTAACAAAACTTTACTCCCTGATGGTTACACACACAATTAACCAAACTTGCGCACTACAGACAGTACGCATTTCTTCAAACTTTAAACTAAAACTGGCCTGAACACATGTGTAAACACTTAGAAATTACTGTTCATACGTATTACAGTCAAGGTAAATGTGCACCTCTGAACTGGAACTATTCCTCTCCAGCAATGGCTGAAGTTCCAGTTCCCTAGCCTTCAGTACATCTTCAGTTCTTGGTACCTTTCCACCTTCTCTTCTCCAGCCTTCAGATACAAACTCAGAATAACTTACAGATGGGGGACCTGGAAACAGAAACAAAGTTAACTCAAAAACAAAACTCCCTGGTAGCAGAACCCGCTGGTCCATCATTGACAACACCAAATCCCGCCACCAGACACGATCCTGAGCAAACTCCATCCTCACAGCCCACCTCCCTAACATCCATTTTAATATTATCATCCCATCTCCTTTTCGGTCTGCCCGGTGGTCGTTTTACAGAACAATTTCCCACCAAAAATTCTGTATGCATACTTTGGTGGGCCCATTCATGCTACATGTCCAGCCCAATGGAACCCCCTATATTTCGCTATCCTCACTATGCTAAGCGACGTGTACAATTCACGCAGATCCTCGTTATGCAATAATCTAAATTCCCCACGTATTCCATCCATCCTAGGTCCAAATATCTCTGTGAGCATCTTGTTTTCAAACACATGTAACCTACAAATTATGAAGACAATGCCTCAAAAACATGGTCAGCCAAAATATTACCATAAGAAATCACTGGGTCTGTAACGAAGCTATACGTTTGCAGTACATTTTTCTTCTTCAAAGACATTAGAAACTGACGGAATAAATTCTGTCAAGCACACAACGAAAGAAAAATGATCGCAGTAAACTGCAGACCCCCAGTGAATGATAATATAAACATGGCGAGGACC